AAGTCACTGGTTACTCGGATAACTTGAAACTTTTCTCCCTGAAACTTACGCTTGCGTTCATGGGTTCATTTTCGAAAAACCTATTAGCCACAAAGCTCTTGAACACAAAGTTTGATCATTACCAAACTCCATCCAGAGTATCTTGTTGCACACTCCACCCCCCCGCATACACATCCAAGTCCATGACGGAGCAATTTTGTCATCACGCTCTCACCTGCACATAGTTATGCTCGTCGGATCCTTTCAACTTTTCTGTTCCACCTCGCCCCTTTTGCGTACGGGCGCTTATCGGAGACTCAATAATCATCACGACGCTCGGCAAAACGAGTTTCTCGCCTCGAGTCATGCAAACCGCTTCTCTTCGAAGGCGACGACGGCTCTTGGCTTTTCCAATCGCTGCTGCCTCTGTAATAACTTTGCTTTCGATACTCTAGGATTTTCCGGTGTAGAGATGCAGCCGTGAACATTAACAACTTCAAGTCGATGAAATGACGATGCTCCGAGAACTCGTTACTGTAACTGAGTGTTACTTACAATTTGTTTAGTACAAATATATGCACAGTACGGACGCGATTAAAAAAAGTATTTTGTTTCAATTTTAATTAATATCATTTGGTCTTTCGATTATTTCTGTCCAATAAAACATTAAAGCGTAATAATCTGATAATTTTTGTACTAGGAATAACAGTTTAAACACATCACATTTAATTAGTTATGTCTTTTAAATCAATAAATTATTTTTAATTAATAAATTTTTAAATACAAGGCATGAAATATTTTATTTTTAATGAGGTACATTTTTATTATTGTTTTAAATACGATGTATTAATAAAAAGTAGTACAGCGTTTTAGTACTTAATTATAATTGTTTTTAGAAGTATGACATTTTTCGAATGTTTAAAAGTACTTGTAATTTTTACGTAGAAATAAATCATACTTAAATTTAAATACAATTCTCCTGAATAATTTTTTTCCAAATACACAACTTTACCAACTATTGAACACACCCTCTTTTATATGAATCGATATTCAAATTCAATTTTAACAATATCAGTTTATTTATCAGCTGATATTGTAATCGCACACTTTGATTGAAAAAAAAAAAATAATAATAAATAAAAAAATACACAAATCGAAAAAACTGCCAGCAGCTATTGAAAAATTATATTACCGCGTCTGGCGCAGCAGAGCTCGATACTCATTTTTATATTTCGTTTTTACGGTTCCTCAGAGGCACTGCTCTAGATTTCTTTGTTCGGGCATTAAATCCAAAACGAAGCAACTAAACTCGAGCATTTATAAGCCCGCTGGTGGTTACCGCATGTAACGTTATAGCCCAGCATGCCCAAAGCACCAATATTCAGTAGCCTCCCTACCACGCAAACAACAAACATCCGCAGAACGCGTTTACGAGCTGGCATAGAATATTCGAGCACAGGCGCACACGAAGCGGGTCTCGTGAAAGATTTATGCCCCGGTGTGGAACACAGGGAACAGATACGGTTTCCGATTTCTCAAAGGACTTGAGCAAAAAATCGACCTGGACAGAGGCGCGAAAAAATTATGTAGGTACTCGTGACTTTTGCAATATTATACACCCCTCTCTCGATGTCTTTTTAAACTTTTTTAGAAGATACTGGGTTGCCTATAGAAAACTAGAGGCCAAAGGTAGGCCGTGTTCGAGGAATTCAAAAAATTTTCAACAGTTTATTTAAATTCTAATTACATAATTTGGTCATTAAATTATGCGTGCGCCCCCTCTTCCTTGGGCCTACCAAAGACAATTGTGATGGGAGAGAGCAGAGGGATAAGTAGATGGGATGCTGAAGGGAGCTCTCTTTCTCTCCTTGCTGGTTGGAACCGGCAAGGACTAAGGTCTTACACACGCGCGACGCGCTCTTCTCTCGTTTTGTGCTCACCCCAAGATCGTAAAATCCTACGTAACACACTCTATTTCAATATGAGAAAAATTTTTAAAAACTTTACCAATTTTTACATCTAAAATTGAAAATTTAACAAAGTATAATAGTAACTCTACTATCTCGGAAACAGTTATTAAAACTTTTTAATTTTCAAACGCAGTATTTTTTTTATTTTTTTTAAATACAACATATTAATCCATTATATAAATGTAACAATCAAAAGAAAAATTTTATTTATTTAATCCTGTAAATATATTACTTTGAACAAATCATACATTTTTGTGATTAATAAAAGTGTTTGAAATAAAGTATCAACTACTTGTATGGAAAGTTGAAGTAATTCATTATTTACTTTAATTAGACATAAAAATAAATAATATTTCATTTTAATTACTTTCATTGAATACAAATAAAACTGAGAATTGTTTAAAATACATGGAGCTACAGAAAATAGTGAAAAACATTCACTTTTAAAGAAGGTACGTACAGGGAAATGTAAGAGGTAGAAGGTCATACTTAGAAACACACTTTTTTTACAGTACAATTTTTAACTAAAAATTTTATACGTTCATAATTCATGTTTAAACAAGTATTTTTCAATTACTACTTATAGCAAAGTGCTACAAAAACTTTTTTCTTTACAGTTTGAAAAAAAAGTTAAGAAAAAAAAAGACTTAAAATATTTGAAAACATACTTAAATAGTACATTTTAAATAATTTGGAATAAACTTAAATATACTTTGCACTTATTATCTAGAAATAAACCCTTTTTTTAGTTATGAACATTTGAAACGATTAAACACGTTTTTACGTAGGAGCTAAGTTAATGTAGGAATTTTATAACAAATTTTTGTGGTTCATTAATTAAACGAATTACGCTGGTTCTCAATTACATTTGTATTTGATTAAAGTGATTGTAATTCACCATAAATTACATGTGTCTTTGAGTAATGTAATTAAAATAAATCATCCACTACTTTAATTTTTATTATAGCAATTGAAATAAAGTATCAACTACTTTTATACTTGATAATTTATTTAAATAACTTTATTCATATTCAAATTTAACGATTAACTCGTTTAAGTTTTTTTGATTGTAATGATACGAAAGTAATGATAATTTATATTGATCAATTGTACGAAATACTATGGTATTAACTTTGTTTTAGTAATTAAAATTTTTTAAACAAATTATTTAAAATAAAACTGTTGCAAATACCTGCGTGTCGGACACTACATGGTCGATAACGAAGCTCTCGGTTGCAGGTATACCTAACAGAGCGTACATCACAAGCGGCTGATAAGGTTACCCCAATAATGTAGCGGTGGTGGAAGGGTCCGTCGCGGTGGTAAGAGGCATTTTGCATGTATAATATTTGATACGTGGCGTAAGGTTCGTGCGCGCATAAATTACGCGCGTTTGGCTCCTCGCGGGAAGATTTATGTTTCACTTCGTGCCGTGAGTGTTGGGTGGAGCTTTAATTCGGTCGACAGACGCTTTTCAAGGGCATATACGTGTAACACTGCTTGACACTTTGATAACCCCGATGTCTTTTAGTATAAACGGTCTAATGGGGAGTGACAGAGGAGAGTTGGGTGATTTTAGAATATGGGATATTTCATTTTTTTCTTTCTCTCAAACACATTGGAATTAATGATTTTGTAAATTAACGATTCTCCTTTCATCGAGTGCAGAGTTTGAGGAAATTTTACGGAATATGAGGTAAATTTAATCGTATACAGTATACAAATATTGATAAAACGGTGTCAGTGATTGTTATAAGATAACAACTATAAATTCGAAAAATGCACAAGCTATAATTTTATTCCTATGCGTACTAGTGGTGTAGAATTTATTATAAAAGTTTTTAAGTTTTAATGCAAAAGTCACAAAAGACTTGTTGTGCTCGAAATAATTTGAAAATTTGTACGGCAATAAAAATGGGATAACCCCTAAATAGTCTTCATCCGAACCGATGCAACTCAGCTTTGATTGAAATTTTTTTTTCATACAGCTACACCTTTAACTTCACTCAGCATCATGTTTAAACCAGTGTTAATGTTTATAAAAAAAAAAAAAAAAAAAAAAAAAAAAAAAAAAAAAAAAAAAAAAAANAGCTTGTCTTTCATAACTGTTAAGTACAGTATGAACGAGATGGAAAATATTACAGTAAGGAGCAATCGGTCTTATTAACGACGCCTCTTCTTTTTTCAACGGATAGCACAAAAAACGGAAAGTAAAAAAAGTTTTTCATCAGACTTTCATATTCTTATCAAAAAAAAAAAAAAAAACAAATCCTGTGCATGAATGCAATTTTCCACTCTTATAAAACGACACTACACTTTCATATACATCTGTGTCCTCTGCATAACTTAAAATTTTACCAAACGAGCTCCAGCACACTCAATCCCCGATAATCATCAAGCACACCACTCCGGCGAATCGATCAATACTCGTATACTAATTTCAACCAAAACGTGAGCCAGTCCTTTTAAACCCCAAAGTTAATTGCTCGAGCGAATCGACAAAGTCAACTTGGACACGCACAAAGTATGTATACGATACAGCTCGAACTTTCACCGCGTTTTCGCCGCGTCCGTGCGACAATTAATTCCAATAACGCGGTAAAAGCCGGGGCAAGGCAATTGGGCCCCGAGACGGTCAGCATCGCACATCCTCGTGTCCCGGAAGTCATTAAAATAAAAGAGGAAATTGCAATGAGCGTCTACACATACGTATGTATACGTTGTACCGTACACATACACGCCACGTGAACGTATTAAACGCGGCTCATAATTGCGCGGGTGTTTCATTAAAATGAAGAGGAAGAAAGCCCCGTGGGATTTAAAAAAAGTTGAACTTTATTTTAACCCACGCGAGATATCGTACCGATTCCCAGCAACTTTTACCCTTCGCGATCCGCTCTCGAGTTTTTTCTTCCAACAAAAAAAAAAGAAAAGTACCCTCACTCCATATGGTAAAAGTTTAAATGAGGTCACGATGTTGCTTTAATCACGCCTCGGTTACATTTGCAACCAAAGGGAAGAAGGGTCGGAGGGGCTTGGGGATAAACTCACCGATGACGTAGCTGTAGCCGTCCAAGGTGAGGACGCACTTGCGAGTGGCCGTCGTGGTAGCCGGCAGCACGTGCCTCCGCCCAGCCACGTAACTCCGTTTTCCGCTCTGCACTGGCACCGGTGCACCACCGGCCGGCTGGTTATGCCCCGGATCCGAATGGCACTTGTGCACCGGGTCCTTTGCCTGCCTCGACATCCTTCCTTTTTGATCTTTTGTTACCTTTACCCAATCGTCACCACTACACGATTGCTTTTCTTCTTCTCGTCATACTCGCGTCCCTGCACACTTGCGACGATCTTCGGTGGCCCCCTCGTCATTCCCCTTATCCCGACTCTCCTCAGACACTCCTTTTCCCTGATTAAGCCGGAAACTCGGTCACGTGTGCGGCCCTTGGGCGGCCGCCGCGAATCCACACGCACCTCCCGTTCTCCGCACGCGCTTATTATCACGAGGCGCGAGTGCTTTTGTTTCACTTGGCACCGGCTCAAGTCGGCGACGCGCCTCTACTCCGGCGTCTATTTCCAACGTCACCCGCGAGCCATTGCGCCATCGGATCGCGGCGACAGATCCACCACCGTCGATCCCATCTGACGCGCTTCTCACTGTTTACACCCTGTTCGAGAGACTCGCGCGCTTTTTTTTCCCCCACATCCGCGGGACCCCTCTATTAATAGCTGCGCTGCATTTTTTCGCACTCGTTCTTTTCCTCTCTGTTTTGCGAGATGCCGTCAGTCACGCTTTCAAGTGAGATGCAGCCGGACCGTCCGTGCCGATTTGTCGCTGAGCAAGAGTCCCGTCAGCTGATCGCTGTTTACACTTCCCCACTAGGGGCACACCTCTGCGCCACCAAAGTCCACTGTCACCGCGACAATCATCCTCACAACGTCCGGCGATCTATTTTGCGAGCAAAAGAAACGCATCATCTTTCAGTAGAACAGTTCCGCGTACGGTCAGCCATCGGGTGTTGCATATCACCCACCCTCACTTGTCACTCTCTCGTGAGATGAAGATCATTTTTCCCTTCAAGTGCGTAACGAGACGTTGACACAACACTTGCACACACTTGCACACACACATGACAATAGGTGGTTCCCGAGAGCCGCGAAGCGCGGAAACGGATGGTGCATGTTAACCGAGCGGCGGTGCCGCTACTACTGAACTCTGGTGCACGGCGGTATACTCTTGGCGCGCGCGCCTCTCTCTTTCTCTCTTTTTGTCTGTGTGTCTGTGCGCCATTCGGTATACCCGCCGGCCACTCCAAACTCCTCCCTTCTCCTCCCTTTTCGTACCTTTCGCTCTTGCAAGCTCTCTTTCTCTCTCGTGTGTGTGTGTGTGTGTATGTATATATACACCCCGAGAAATCTCCAGCTGCAGAGATGCCGTTTCCCCCACTCCATCCACCCGTTTCATTGTTTCATGTTGGTTTTGTTTTATTGCACTGGACGAGGCTTTTTCTCTTTCTTCTCCTTCTTCTTCTTCTTTGATTGCCCCCGCGTTTGTTTTAGCGCTGTTGTTTTTGTCGGTCGGCTAGAGTTAGCTATGCGGTGATGGACCCTGTTTGTGTTGCTATTTTTCTCGAGTCCACGAAATGATTTGGCTTTTTTTTTTTTGTACAATTTCAAGTGTACAGATAATGGAAGTGTCTTTCGGTGGTTTTTTGAAAAATTACACCTAGGCATTGAGCTTTTGGATGTCATTGGGTCGATTTTATCGCTTCAATTACGGTTGGTTGGCTGCATCGGAGGAGGTAGTCTAATAATCATTGTTAATATTGAGTCTTGTGTATTTAGTTAAGGGTATGACGATCTGTATGTAAGGTTTAGTTTTTACTATACAAAATTTTGATTATCAAGGATAGTCGACAGCCTTGGTATTGGTAATATTAAAAGCATATAGTGTAACACAACCGTGAAAGAATCAAATTCTAATTATATCTTGGGTTTTTTTTCAATAGTATTTTTTTTTTTTTTTTTTTTTTTTGCTTCATGAACGTGTTACTTGTATGGAATTAATAAAAAAAAAAGTTTTCCAAACAGTAACATTTCCTTGTTGCATTCAGCAAAGGTTTCTTCGGAGTTCCTGTGATTCGTATTTCGTATTTTCGTTTGATACTACAAAGCTTATTGTCGGTACATCTTTCTTTTGTAAAATACAACTCATTATTTTTTCTTACTTCGTTCTTGCAATTTTTTTTTTATAAATGTTAGATATTGTCTTGAATTTATCATGATAATACATCATGTACCTTTAAAGTTTGTGCAAAAAACTTCTCCGTTAAAAATTCATGTACTCACGTATCGAAGATTGAATTTGTAAATTTACTATATCCACAATTTATAACATCCCTAAGGTATAAACACACGGAAGGAATCCCATTCCACGTAATCCTTGAAAAATCAAATACCTCACACATCATAGTTTACCCTCTTTTCATCACAGAAAATCTTACTTTCTGTAGCGTGAATCCACACCCGTGCTGAAAACGCAACAAAGCTCGCAAACAACTATCTAATTCGACCTATACGCTCAGCCCACACGGGAGTGAAGAAGAAGAAAAAGCGATTCCTTCACGCGCGTCACTCCTCGTCAGACTCAACCCCCTCTTTTTTCTTCTTAAAAAAGCTCTGGTGCAAACTTTTTTTTGCCCCCTTTCCTCTCTGCATGAAAGACCCGCGCAAACCTTTCCATCGCGATTTTCTCGCTTCTCTCGATACGCTGCTCGTAAGCTCGGCACACACCCCGGGAGTAAGAGACGACGGAAACAGACGCACCGTGATTCAGCAGGGGAAACGGGTGTGGTGTGGGGAGGGGGGGGGGGTTTCCTCGAAAGGCACGTACAAGCTCTCGGAGTTGTTGTGGCTCGGCCCAAGAGGAAAAAAAGGAAAGAGGAGAGTGGAAGGAAGTCCTCCAGATGCGGAAACGCGTGATTAAAGGATCGCTGGGTATCAGGAGGGGGTTTTGAATATTTCATATTTTCTTGTCGCACGTTACGTGCGTGTGTGGACGTTTGTGTGGTCGTGTGTACGTATGACAAAATTTTTTTGAGACGAATTAGAGTTTTTGTACCGTAGATACTCTGTATTGTAAATGTTGTGCGTGCCGATATCGACGTGAGGTTGAGCTATCATTATTTTGTGTATCGTGACAATCATCGGCTCGCCTCGATATTGTCACATTAAATATGGTTTTTTTCATCATCTCACGATCTAAAATCAACAATTTTAAATTGAATAAAAAGTATCATCTCGGGTAATCTTCCCTTTCTCTTGATAAATTTCGCACAGCATCTCTTTCCTTAAGAAATCCAACAATCCAATCGGTACTTACCAGATATTATTAAAAAAGAAAATTCACTCGCTTAGTGATAGCTAATAACTAATCATTCTGCAATACAAACGCTGCAATACAATTTTTTTTGTACTTACCGAAACAATTTTTGTTCATCACTGCTCATATGAAAGTACTTGACAAATTTACTTTCCTGCAAAATTAATGCAATTGTACTTTGAGAAAAAAAAAACCCTAATCGACAATTCAATTTTCAAATAATTAAAATCAAACTTTGTCCTGTAACAAAAATTCCCTTGTACCATTATTCAGAAAGTTTTTTCTCAACATAAATATTACATACACTATTTCTACTATTTCTAATAAGCAATTTTTTTTCAAACGTCTTAAAATACATAAATCAATCGTACCCACCCCTGCACTCGTCCTAACGAACCCAATTACATGGTAGTCGGTTAATTTGATTATCGAATGGACAAAAACACGCGAAACGTGACAATTAACTACGTCTAAATGATAGTGTAGCAACAATTTCTCCAACTCAAAATCAATAAACTCAATACGCGCACCGGTTTCACCCACCTGGACACTAAAAAACCCGAAATTCTCGTCACGTATCCAATTCCAAAATTCCCCTAAAGACGCAATTATCACCCACGATCGCGCAACAATCGTAGAAAAGCATTCCACCGTATTCCCTGCCGGCCTAATGTGGCGCTCGAAAAGAGACTCTCTCCGAGTCTTTTCGAGCGAGCACAATTAAAGCCCGGAATTCGAGGATCGATGGCATCGGCTGCCAAACACGAAGGAGCCCACTCGAGCCAATGCCTTTCTTGACACGTGACACACCCACGCCTATCGGATCGTATACACGTATAAGCGCTTCTGGAAATGGCGTCCACGGGAGGCTTCGAAGTCACGAGTTTCATCAATTGAACGAGAACACCCCGGGGTTATTTACCCAAGCCAAATGTGGTTTCATCTGATTTCCAGAGTCAGGGAACTTGGGTTGATCAGTCCTTTTTTTTTTATAACTCGAACATTTTTTTGCTCGCACGGCGTACCGCGAAATTTTAATGCGCGCGCGCACATGGAATTTATTTTCAATTTGCCTTCTCAAGTCGAAATTATCGGGTGTTGTAAGCCCGCGAAACCGATTATTCGACGTACGCGCGTGTGCGTTTTGACTCGACGTCTACGAATGCCAGGAAGGGGTTTTTGAGGGATACGAGGTTCGGGAAAATTATACTTTTAAATTGGAAATTTTTCATTCCGAAGGAGCAGTGCTGTATTTTTACTTATAGAAAGTTAGAAAAAAAGCTTTTTATTCAGTCCAATACTCAAAATTAGAGTCCAAAATATTCAATTCCTCAGTTAAACAATTATATTTACAATTTAACTCTCAATCATACATTACGATGTTGGTGAAAAATTTTTGATTGAAATGGCAAGTAGGAGTTGAATTTAATGGTTAATTTATTAGTACTTTTCAATGAACAATAACATCGAGTTATTACGTAAAACATAGACTCTTTTATTTAATTATCCTTGATAATAATACTTAATCATCAAAAATAAAATATAATTAATAACTCGAACTTTTATCTATGAAAAATTTCTTCTACCTACTCATTGGAATTAAAATCAATTGACTGATCAAACAATAAACTATTAATCGGAATTAAACCATAACTAAAATGTTATCCTCAAACCTCTAGCGTGGCAAAATCTCTTCAATATAATCCACCAAAAGAACAAATAAAAAAACTCAAGTCCAAAAAATCCACAACTCAAGAATCATGCTCATCAATTAAGGATCCTTTCATAGCCCCCCCTCCGGAGTACAATCAACGCACATCTCCCAAGGATACCTCTAAACAATGCATCCTCAAACTCACGTCAACAAC